TTTTCCAGGAAAAAAAAATTAATACCGGTAATTATCTTTAGGTTAAATTGTGAGCTGTTCGTTTCTGTAGTTTACAGTTGGTAAATACACTGCCTGACCAAAAAAAAAACAAAGTTGGCACCTAAAAAAAGGTCACAGTAATATTTTGTTGGACCACCTTTAGCTTTGATTACAGCAGCATTCACTGTGGCATTGTTTGATAAACTTCTGCAACGTCACAAGATCTATTTCCATCCAGTGTTGCATTAATTTTTCACTGAGATCTTGCACTGATGACTAGACACTAGACATGATGGGTGCATCACTTCACCTGCCTCTTCTTACCCTGATGCATCCATCACTCTGGAACAGGGTAAATCTGGACTCATCAGACCACATGAACTTCCATTGCTCCAGAGTCCAATCTTTATGCTCCCTAGCAAACTGAAGCATTTTTTTTTCCAGTTAGCCTCATTGATTAGTGGTTTTCTTAAGGCTACACAGCTGTTCAGTCCCAATCCCTTGAGTTCCTTCACATTGTGTGTGTGGAAATGCTCTTACTTTCACTATTAAACACAGCCCTGAGTGCTGCTGTTGTAACATAACAAAGTAGAAATACTTCATTACTGTACTTAAGTAGAATTTTTACATATTTTTACTTTACTTCGTTTACATTTCTAGCGACTTTCACTTCAATACATTTCCCTTAACCATCTTACTAGTTACTCCAATTTAAACTTAGAAGTCTGATTGGGCAATGCCTGTTTGTTCTCCCAGTCTGTGACTTCATGCGGCCACTTCTCCATCACAAACCCCAGCCCCCTCCCCGCCGCTTGTGTGAAACCTGCAGCTCCCGCTGTGAACAAGCTAGATGCATATGCAGCTATCAATCGTTACAATAGAGCTTTGTTGACTCACAGTGGAGACACATTCCTGATATGTGTGAAAATGATGGTAGCTGCTAAAAGGAAAAGTTTTGTGTTCTCCAGGACAAGAACTGCTTCAAGAGCATAAGAACTAATGGTTCCTATGCTATTATATTATTCTATATTATTAATTAGAAAGAAACAAGCCATAACCAAACAGAACCTAGCTCAGTAAACAAGCCAACTACACAACAATGTGAGCTTTCTAACAGCTTTCATAATAAAGGGTAATAAAGGTTGAATGAATACATTTCAGTAGAATCAGAATTTTTAAAAAGCAATGTTTCATTGTTCAGGTCAAACTCTCCAAGTTTTTGTCACTGGATATGACACCCAATAAATGCTGTTTTGGACATTATAACCATTTACTTTTCTTATAAAATGTACTTAAAGAGTAATAAGAGAAATTTACTTTTGATATTTAAGTACATATGTCCGATACTTGAAGACTTTTACTTAAGTAATGATTTTAAAGGAGACTTTAATTTTTACCACGTTAATTTTATGGTAAGATACTTGTACTTCCACTGAAGTATCACTTTGAGGTACTTTATGGAACACTGCCTGAGTGCTACTGTTGTTTTTCTTCGATTTGATTTCAACAAACGTTTAAGTGATCGCCGATCACAATCATTCAGGATTTTTTCCCGGCCACATTTCTTCCTCGAAGATGACGGGTCCCCACTATCCTTCCAGTTTTTAATAATGCGTTGGACAGTTCTTAACCCAATTTTAGTAGTTTCTGCAATCTCAGATGTTTTCTCTGCTTGATGCCAGTGATTTGACTCTTCTCAAACAGACTGACATTTTTTCCACGACCACATGGTAACATGGTTGTTTAAGAAATGAGAAGCAACTCATTGCACCAGTTGGAGTTAAATAACTTGTTGCAGCTGAAAGATAATCGCTCATGCAGTAATTATCCAATAGGAGGCTCGTACCCGTTTGCTTAGTTAAACCCAGGTGGAGACTTTTTTATTGGACAGGCAGTGTATTTGCTTGTAACCAGTGGTGTGGTATGTGATACGCGAGTATACGAAGTATACCCACTAAAAAATACTTGGGGATTTCAGTATATTCACTTAAAAGTGCCCAATGACACGAGACCATGTCACATATCATTGACATGGTCTCGTGTCAGTGTTAACACATTTGGAACATTTTATAGACACATTGAGTTGGTTCAACCTATATTTTGTATAATTAATACTTCTGTATTTACTACTTAATATTTGAACATGTTTTGCTTCGATACTGTTTCATAAATTCTATAACAGGTTTTTAATACAAAGCCAACTGTTGTACAAAGTTTTTGTACATTTATTGAAATATAAGCATCAGAGAAATTTTTAAATGTTCAATATGCTTAAAAATCAAAATAAATTAACTATTACATTGTACTAACTGGTGTACTTTGGTTTCTAAGCACAGTATACCCACTATAAAAATGTAGCCTGCAGCACTGCTCATAACAATTTATATTTTGAAGCTCTGGTGGCTACAGGAAGAAACATGACAGATTTCTGATCTGCCGAGTGTAAAACCTCATTAAACTTGGATTTTGTTCTTTTCCATCTCGACAACATTCTGTAGTGTACTGCAAACGCACGTCTCCAGTATACAAACCAGTTAACTGTAGATAATGACTGCAAATAAAACTCCACACGAGACAGCGTTAAAATCTTCTTCCTTTTTAATCTCACCAAACATGAATCAGAAACATTTGTTTCACCTTCTGTGCAGCTAACAAAGTCACCATTCTTTGAAAAAAAAAAGGAAATAATTTATTTATCCTTTTAAAAATGATATCTACAAAAATAAAATCAAATACAAGAACTACGGCTTTACAGAAAAAAATAACATGTATAAAACAAGTGGTTGTGATTTCTCTATATTACACGTGAGCAACTTCTTTTGTTTAAAGACACAAAGTTCAAAATAAAACGAGATGAAAATGACAGATGTGTTTATGCGTACAGTAGTTTGCACCGTGCAGGGAAGATGTTTGTGCAACGTTCGAAAGAAACGGGATCAGATTTGTTTCCTTCGCAAAGACTCCTTAGGGCCACAACATTGATTATTAAAGCAGGAAAAGGAAAAGACAAAGAAAAGTGTAGAGGTAGAAAATGGAGCTCAAACCACCGAAGTCAGGAAGCGGGAGGAATAAAAAGAGGCAAGAAAAGAATCTCAAATGACTCGACCAACTCAGACCAGTCAGGGAATTTTACTGTTTAGTTACAGATAAGAGTGGAGACCAACAAAGACCTCCTCCTGGTCCGAGGCGATTAAAGACGAGCAGCCAAAATGATAAAAATAAAACAGTAAAGTGTTCCCTTCAATACCTCCCAGGAAAGATTTCACTTTGGTAAAAAGGGTTTTTTTTACACTTCAAAACTCCTTTACAGGTTCACCGAGGATCAGCTGCAACAAGTCAGTCTTCTGACTTTTTTCTTTTTTAGCTGCATTTGATCATTTTTCCCACATTAGTGACGGCCTCGCCGCTCCACCTTCACTATAAACGCACCTCCCAGCAGGCAGAAACCAGTATGAGCACAGTGAGAGGCTGATGGTGAGTTCAAGTGGTAGTGTATTGACAAATCCAAAACATTTACTTATTAAACCATCTCAGAAACAGATTCCAGCTGGTTTATGACCAGCTTCACGAAGAAATAATTTATTAAAAAAAAAAAAAAAGTACAAATTAAAAAGTTAAATTTCTGCAAAACCTTTTAGTACATCATAAAATTAGTATCAAGCAGATGATGTTGAGTATAAAAGAAAAGCACATTGTATTAAGTGTCAGTCGTTGCTGGTTACGTAAAAAAAAAAAAAACTACGAGACTTTGATCTCTGGTTGATGCACCGTCTATTCATTCTCACGCCAAGATTTTTCAGTTTCTGTTTCAGGGTTCAGAACAAGACGAGACTTCCTGTTTCTGTTCAGCGTGCCAATCACTGCGGAAGCAGTATTATTTAGAAAAGCTAAATTAACGCGTTATCTTCCTGGGATGTTAAGTTAGGCCCCGCCCACAAAGAAATGGCAGTATTCTCAAAACAATTTTTAACTTGGTGTTTTAAAAATTGTTTGCGTAAACACAGCGGTTTCTAGAACAGGTGTCGTTCGCTCAGAATAATCTGCTGCAGTGACCATGCCGGGCCTGTGTGTGGCGCTGTCGTGAAAATATACCCAAAACAGGAAACAAGGCGTGGAGCAGCTGCTCTAACTGAAAACACAAGAAAACAATAGAAAGTCAAGAATTCAAGCACAAACAGCTTCAAGGTTTTTAGCTCTGGAACTCTTAACAAAAAAATAAAACTATATTAGGAGCTCTGAAAAAGCTGTTTCTATGTGGACCCAAAGTTGAAACAATAAAAGATTTTTGCACATTCCTGTGTGGATGGGGCCTTAGACTCTAGTTTGATCAATCTGGGCACGACTTTCACGAGGTTTCCAAGCATGAAGCAAATTTTTAACATTATCGGCTCTTAGTTTCTTGAACATAAGAGAAAACAAGAATCTATTCGTCTTTTCTCTTTAGGAGATTTGATTGTTTTAACATTAAAGTGATAGTTCAGATCCTTTGGACCGTGGTTCTGTGGCAAGGTGATGAACAAATCCTATCTTACCTGCTGTAGGTAGCTCTTTGAACAGGATCAGTTTGGTGACTCAAAGATACATTTTGCCTCGATTGATGAGCTAAAGGCTAGTCCGATTGGACCCATTTTGCTATCTTAAAACTAATCTTTAAAATTTCAGAAAGACTCGTGCAAATACCATTTTATAAACGTTTACAAACATTTTTCATACATGGTTATTTCAGCAGAAACATGATTTTACATAACTAGCTGTTTCCACATGTAATGAGAAACTGACAGCAATAAAATGGTTTTTGCAAGAACAATGTTGAAACTTGGAGCTATTTTATAGCAACTCACTTTGGTCTGAAATGAAAATTAAACAAAAATTTTCCAGACTGAAGGCATCCAAAGAGCTATCTACAATAGATCAAGTCACCGGCTAAGTTCAAAGTGCTTAAATTATAGAAATTAATCAACATTTTAGTTTAAAACTATAAGTCCAATATCTGAAGGAAGTCTGACAACTCCTAAAAGGGCCGTGGCGTGCTAAGACGTGAGCAAGCCAGTGGATTTTGTGCTTTTCGGATTGGTTCTGGTCCAGTCATTTGCTAACTCATTGACAAGGCATGTGTATTTACCAAAAATATCAAACCGTTCTAGAAAAGCTGTTGGTTTCTCCCAGTCAAAAGTTTTTCTCCCAGAAACAAAGTACTTTGATTGTGGCTTTGAAAATGGATTATAAACGCTACATTACAGATGAGGGACCAGTCGCTAGTTCAGTTTCCACCATTAAAACATTCCCATGATCAAGCAACTATTTGGTAACAACTCCAGTCTTGAGTCTTGCCCTGAAACATCCTGAACCCTTCAAAAGATTCACCTAAACAACTTTACATGATGTGAACGGCAGTTTGCGTCCTTGTGCACCTTAAGAGCAGCGCTGCAAAACAAAAATCAACAAGTAAAACCTGCCAGTGTTTCTGTAGTAAACAGTAGTAGAGAATAAAGCGTGATTTCCTCATAAACAGCTTTCCCATAGCTTAAATGAAGGCTAAAGCAAAATGCAACAAGTGAGCTATTTGTGTTTTTTCCACAGCGATTTAGTGAGTTATGTGATCCTTGTGTGTGTGTGTGTGTGTGGTGTAGGTTGCAGTGCAAAATGACCTGACTCATTCAGTCCTTCAGTCAAGGTGGCAGGTGAACTTGGTGCAAAGCAACCAGGTTGAAATTGGCCCAAATCTGATCTCTGATCTGTTCGCAGCAAGAAGACAACCACAGAGAAATGCATTGTGGGTAAAGTGCTGGGGTCTCCCTAGGAAAGTTTCTTTAAGTTAACTTTTCAACACTTTCTGCATCACTTCTTCAACCAGCTCTCAAAAACCCAAACATACAAGTCGCCTTTCCTCTGAAAATATCCAACTCGGCCGGCTTTTCTTCAACTTCTTCATTCCTTTTGTCCGTAAATTTCTCTTTATTCTTCCGTGGTTTTTCCTCGGTGTCCCTGGACTCCCTCTGGAAGTTCAAGCCTGTGCCAGCTTCAGAAATGTCTGTGGGTTATACCGCCACCTTTGTATTCCAGGATAATGGAAATGAGGGGCGAGGGGTGTCTATGGCGTCCAAGTCGAACTTTTGATATAGGTGCTTCTATGCGCCATGTGAGCACAAATTACCACACAGACATGTCAGAATCCAGTTGACAGAATTTTAGTCTCTGCTGGGATTCCTTCTTTACCTTAATGGGTTCAAAAGAAAATGTATTCAACAAACAAAACACTAAGACCATCAAAGGTTTAGGATGCATAGGGATGCTCACCCTCTCCTGAACTGCCATCCATAGAGGGCGTCCTGGAGACGGTTGCTGAGCGACACTGTCGGTCCTCTGACTTTAGACTGAACGACGGATCTCGAAGAGACTCTAAAAGCTTGTGGTGGGCCATTTCAATCTCCTGTAAAGATGAAAAACATCAAGACTCTCAGAAAATGCAGCATTGACCCAAAACCAGAGGCTTACTTTTACTGAACATACTGTAAAAGTCACAAGTAAACTTTTCTGTTAATACCACCAAAGAATGGTAATGGGTTTAGCCATAAACCCTGATGTAACCCCTTACAATAACACAGCCTGGCTTTGTGGACTTTATGGACTGCAGTGTGAAGTGTTTGTCATGTCTTTGGTTGAGAGCACGAAGCAAATATTTGATCTGAAAAAAGATTTAAAGTACGGATTCGTAAAACCAAAGCACCTTTTTTGTGTGTGATGTTTCCCAGAAGCTTCAGAGTCTAAAGAAGTTAATGCAAATTCCTCTCAATGTTTTGTTTTCTTTTAAACTGCTAAATAAGAATATATAAATATTTATTGGCTGCAGATCTTCAACTCATATTTCCTCTTTCCTCCTTTTTTTTTTTTTTTTTGGCAGATGATGCGTTTGGATAAAAAAATGATTACACTCACTCACTGAATCTTTAAAATTATTATTTTTTTAACCTTCCAGTCATTTTTAAAATTGACCCATTTGAACATTTTTGTAACTTGTTGCTATCTTCCATTACAGAAAGGATGAACAGTAGTCCCTCGCTACTTCACGGTTTATTTATCGCGGACTTCTCTATCATGGTTTTTCAAAATAAGATAGGACATGACACACAATTGGCTGATTGATGGATGAGCCACACGACGGGCATGGTATTTTTATTTTAAATAAATTATTTAAAATTATTTAGCACCTGCTGCACCTTTTGTGCAGCCCACAGGTGCAGGAGAAACTTCCTCCTGCAGCATGTCATATCTGCTCTGCAGCGGAGAAGTGGGCGTGGCCGAGAGCGCTAGCAGGGAGCTGAAATCATGACATTCTGTGCTCTTATTCAGCGTTTAGTTTAGAAACATTGTTTAGAATTTTCTGTGGGAAGAGTTTAAAACACCTTAATATATATACTGAATTAAATTTTACTAAATACTAAACTACTACATACTACTTGTACTACTATTCCTACTTCACGGTTTTTCACTTATCACGGGGCTTCAGGGTACGGATCCCCTGCGATAAACGAGGGACTGCTGTATATTAAACAAAAAGCAGTCAACAGGACAAAACAAAAACTTTGGGGTCATTTTGTTCACAATGGAATAAAGTTCTACATTGATGCAACAATCACTGGGAATTATTTTCTAATTCTCTACAACGTTCTTCTGCTTTGAAGTTACCAGTACTTCAACATTTGTTTTATAAAAATAATAAAATTCTAAGATCTAGATGTCCTGATGAATGTTTTTCATTCTTAACTTTAACACACAGCCAAGCTTTTTGTTTATTACTTGCTTTCAGTCCTCCTCCACCTTAACCCTCAGCACTGGCTCCCCTCAGGGCTGTGTGTTGAGCCCTCTCCTGTTCACTCTGCTTACATATGACTGCACACTTTCTCATCCAGGGTGTCATATGGTAAAGTTTGCAGATGATACAGCGGTGGTTGGATGAAACACAAACAACAAAGAGTCCAGCTACAGGCAGGAGGTGGAACACCTGGAGAGCTGGTGCAGGAAGAACAACCTTCACATCAATGTGAACAAGACAATATAGATGGTCGTGGACTTCAGATGGAACAAACACACCTACCCCCCCACCAACACCAGAACATAGGAAGATCTAGGGTGAAAGTGGTCTTCAGTTACGTGTGCACCTGACTGACAACCTCAGCTGGGGCATCGCCACCAGCCTGATCGAGAAAGCTCATCAGAGACTCCCTCAGGCGGCTGAGATGAGCTGGACTGAGAAGCTCAGTCCTCACCTCCTTCTACAGGTGTGCAGTGGAGAGCATCCTGTGCTCCAGCATCAACGTGTGGCATGGAGGCTGCACAGCTGCAGAAAGAAAAGCTTTACAGAGAGTGGTGAAGGCTGCACAGAAGACTGTTGGAGTCAGCCTCCCCACCATCACGGACATGTACACCTCCAGATGCAGGAAGAGAGACACCTGCATCATGAAGGACCCCACTCAGCCAGCACACACACCTTTTGCCCCACTCCCCTCGGGCAGGAGGTTCAGGAGCATTAAGTGTAGAACCACTAGACGGAGGAACAGCTTCTACCTTGAGGCTGTTAGACTCATGAACCTTGAACCAGGATAATCATGTAATGACACAAATTGAAGATTTGACCCTTTATCTGTGCTGCTGATTTCTTGCCCACAAGCTGCTGTATTTATACCCACCTGCTAACAATAGACTCATGTTCAGGCTGCTGTTTAATACACTGGATAATATTGTATCATTACAGCTTAGTGTGTTTTTGAGTGGACTTGTATATCTTAGATCCTTGTATACTGTTTCTTTTTATATATTTTATATTTTTTCATATTTTTGGGTGTAACTGGGACCTTGAGTACACAATTTCGTTCCACCTCATGTACCGCATGTGATGTGAATGACAATAAAGTCACCTTGAACCTTGAAGTTCTCTAGCTCCACAGTGTTTTGACAAAGACGATGATAGCTGTTCATGTGTTGCCACATTGACATAAACTTACCTTCAGCTTGTGCAACTTGTTCATCAGCGCCTCGATTGTGATGAAAATTTCATCCGCATTTTTGATAATGTGCCTCTGTGTCCCTGCCTGCGACAGGCTCGTTTCTTTTCCTTCCTCCAATTGCATAGTCTCTGACTGCCTGAACTCTGGGCAGCCAGCAGGCACTTCCTCCTCTGGTTGTGTCTGCTGTGACATCACTTCCTCCTCAGGCTGAGGGAAGTGGCTGGCGGTGGGTGTGGGAGGGTCGTCAAAGTCGTCTGTGATGCTCTCGCCCTGCTCTGAGGGCATCACCAGGTAGAAAGTGTTTCCTAAAGACGTGATTGGTGAGTTCAGGGGTGAATTTAACCGAGACACTAAGATGACAGATCATAGTTTAATAAATAAGATTGTGCATGTCTGATAAAAACTGCAGCGAGTGACCGATCTGGTCATCATTACCCTGAACTTTGGCCACGCCTCTAGACTCGGAGGAATGATTGGAGAGGAGGCTAACATCATCAGTGATGCCATCAGGGACAGAAGCAGAAGGACCCGCAACCACAGCTACACACAGAGGATAGTGTGTGTGTGAAGAAAAGGTGATTTAATAAAGTGTACAGAGGTGAACAGTTGAAGAATAAAAGCGTGTAGGTGTGTTCATAAAAGCAAGCAAATCAAAGAGAAAGAAAAACATAAATCACAGTGTGCAGAGAAACATGCAAAGAACTACAGACACCCAGATTTTATTTTAATCAGATAAATCAAAGTAAGCGGATGTCCACTGTAATAAGCCAAACATCAGTTTTATGGGATAAAAAGGTTAACCCTGAAACTCAAAAGGTTCAGGCATCAACTCTCCTGACTCTCCTTTACCTTTCCTCACAACCTGAAAACTGGGCTGCCTGGTGTCTGTGGGCGGGGCTTCTTTTGGCTCCGCCTCTTCTGTGCTGAAGTTGAGGACCGTCTCCAAACACTCTGGTTGCTGGCTCTCCATCACCAAACTCCTTCTGTTGGTCATCTCATTGGTGGGCGTGTTGTCTGAATTGTGGCTCCACCCGTCCTCGTCTAGATCTTGCAATATGAGCTGCCGCAGGGTTTCGACTGCAAAAACGTTTTGATGTTTTAATTATGGAATTCAAAGACGTGCAGACATCGCTTGGACTTTGTATCTCAAAAAGGTGTTTCGACGGGTTCTGATTTCCACTCACTGTCTTGCAATGCAGCTTGTGCCACGCTGCCCTCCTCTGCTTCATGGCTGTTAGTGGCTACGGACAGGTCTGCGGGTGTGTTGTCGTCGATGGAGGACTGAGTCTCCATGGAATCTGACGGCTCCACCATAGAGTTGACTGGCAAATTAAATGTAATTTAAAAACATTTTAGCCTCTGCAGACAGCTCATCAGATGTTATCCATACTTGTGGTTATGATATAAATAGGCCTGTCACAATAACAGCTGGACAACTGTCTCAGAAATTATTGCGATAAACGATAATATTGTTTGACGTTTGACAATAATTAGTAATTATTGTCAAACATAAGAAGAAATGTTGGTTAATTTGTTTTGAGTGTAGTACCTTTTTGTGACCACTGGATGGCAGTATAAGACTGTTTGAACCGAAGGATGGATAGTGAGGGAGCAAGCAGCGTGTCTATTTAAGAAAAATGGGAGGGAGGCCCCTTGGCGTGACATGGGCTGTCTCTTCTTACTTTCTTCAGTTTTCAAAATGGTGGATGCTCAGTGTGATTTGAGCTCTTTAGCAAAGCATTTGTCACACAAAGCTTTTAATTAAAAAAAAATCAGTAAACAAGTTCGCCCTCTTTTTGCAAAGAAAAAACTTTTTACATGAAGGCACAGGTTTCAATCATGAATTATGGAGCTTCGACAAGACAAAGGTTTTTATCCCCCCCGAGGTCGGCCTGTTAGCTTAGCTTCTCAGCTTTGCTATTTTGAACAATGTAAAAACTCTATTTTGGACGGTTAAAACAGAATTTAAAGAGAAAAGAGTAAGGGAGGGGTCAGTGAAGAACACCGGAGTTAAGTCTTTTGTCATCCAGCGTCTTCAGTAAAAAGAGAGAGACACGAAGAAACGATAAAGCCGATAAATGAAAATGAAGTTGATAATTTTCATTTATCCTGCGATTAATTGATTTATTGTTTATCGCGACAGGCCTAGAAATAAACGGTACTCCCTATGTTCTGTGTAAGGTTTACAACTTCCAGATCTAATGTTTCTGTCACGTCTCATGTAAAGGACAATCCTCAGTTGAACGACCACCTCTATAAAAGCAGGAATTAGGGCAGTTTGCTGCTCTGGAGCATACAGGTGTGTGTTAACACAACACCAAGTTGGAAAGACATTAGCAATGGGCTTAGAGAAGCAACGGTTGCAGTTCATCAACGTGGGATGGGTTATAGGTCATTTCACATTGCCGACTGGTCAAAAACAAAAACAGTTGTCAACAAATTTGAGTGTTTATTGATCTTCGTAAACAAAGTTAAAAATAAACCAGAAAGTTCCTGGAGAAACTCTGAAGGCGACTGCCAAGTTTCAGCCATTTTCAAATTTTTATTTGACAATGCTATGTGTTGGGGTTCGCTCTCAGCTACCACTATATCAAACTGCAGCTCAATATGGGAAAAAAAATTAACGAGTTACAGTATTTTTTTCTTTTAAGCTATGGTGGTCATCTTGGATTTTTGATTTGGATTCAATATGTGATGGGGAATGTTCTCATCTATCACCTCACCAAATTTCAGCTCCATATATGTAAAAACAGCAGAGTCAAATCCATTTAAATGTAGCTTTGGTGGCCATCTTGGGAGCTTTTATTAGAATTACTGGTAAGTATTTATTGTGTATGGCTCTCAGCTACCACCACACCAAATTTCAGCTTAATATTTCTAGAAATGGCGTCTTTGTTTGCAAATTACGTCACCATGGTAACTCGAAACACCAATATAGTAACAGCACACATCAGGGTGCCGAGCCGGTCGTTTTGATATCATATTTGTGGGGGTACATGTTGCGGTTTGGACCGCATTAAAGTTCATAGAAGAGGAAGAGACTTTTCAGGTGGCTGCCAGTGGTTCCCTGGTGACCCCAGTCACCGAGGGATTTAAATAGTGAATGTTTAGGATGTTTTCCTGACTGATGTGTTGTTTTTGTTTTCTTTACTGGAAGTGAACAGGGAATGCAAATAAAACTTAAAATATTTTGTGCAAGAATATTCAAGTGGTTAGGAGTAACTGTGTATAAGGATAGTTTTTTTTAATTGTCTGAGGTGGCTCTGAGTGACAGATCCTGGTGAGTGGAGGGAACAATTTTATCCACCACCAGGTGCAGAGGTAGTGGCAGGGGGTGGCTTAAGGTGGCCTTGGCCAATATAAATTAATCTTTGGCCACCTCAATCGTTTGAAGAAACTATACTTTTAAGCAATATAAAAACTAGTGAGCATAATTTCCTAAAACAACTGGGCTGGCTGGTTTACATACATATGGTGGCTATCTTGGAATTTGACGTGGCAACCCAATATTTGATAAGGACCTAGACGTAGCCACTGGATTCCCCACTTCGCTCCATGATAGGGGACAAAATGTGTGACATAAAACTCCTTTGCTAAACTACGAATTCAAAGCATGGACTGTTTGTCCATAGTGCTTTTACATCTGTTAGTTTTGGTTTAATAAAGAGATCCAGTGTAATATGTCACATTTATCTGAGGTTGTATTCATTTAATTTTAAGACCTTGTGAAAATCAAATGACTTTGTTTTAACCTAATACAGTTGACTAACTTTTACCCAAGCTGCAGAGTGTAATGATTACCTTCAGTGGCATCACTGCTGTTTGGAACAGGACTGCACAGACTGGAAGAACTGGAGGAAGCATACATTCATCCTTTAAATTAATGTCTTCACAGACGTTTGTCTCATTGGGTATTAAAGATGTGACGTATACTCACGGTAAATGAAACGACCTGTGGTTGATGTGTGACGAACCTCCAGCAGCAGAGATGGCCTTTTCAAGTAAATCCTTCCAGCTGTGGAACAAGAATGATGTTAGTCAACCATGTAACCATAAATTTAAGACCAAAAGAGGGTTCTGAAGTTTTAAAAAAGAGCCTGAATGTAGAGTGTAACAATAAGAAGTGAAAGGAAAGAGCGTACGTGTTTTTCTCTGATGAAGACCCTGCCACCAGCTCATAGATCTGACTCTCTGTGGTGCTGATAATGTACAGAGCTTTGTTATCTGAAGAAAAAAAAAAACGATGTGGATATTTGATCAAAAGTTTTAAAAATTATCTAAACTTTGCTTTATCTTCTGAAAACAACACGTTCCCTTGTAAAGTACCTGTAGCTACAGGTCGGACGAGCAGAGAGTTCAGCTTGACCAGAGGGCTGAAGGAGGTCTTGCTGTCCCCGCCACCCACTCCTCCCCCTCCTCCCAACCAGCGGGATGGATATCGCAGCTGCAGTCGATCGTCGGGGCTTTTCTGGAAAAGGACTAGGTAATCTGACACCAGCAGGGCTTGAATCTCTAAAAAAAGAAGGTCATGATTACTGAGTGTGACTGTAAGCTCATCGTTCTGTGCGAACCGCTGCAAGACGGACCTATCTGCTTATCTTTGCTGATCTTCCACATGAGAGGACCTTCATGGATCATCCTCTTAGTGGTGAGGTCCAGACTCTGAGAAAAAAGACGAACAAAACAAGTTCAGACTTCTTTGTGAACCTCTGTGAAAACAGCTAAAACAAAGTGAACTCTTGTGTCACCTTGAACTGAGGAGCAGCATCCAGCCTGCGCTGGTACTGAACGAGGCGCTGACGGTGTTCTGTTCTCCTAACGTCCTCGTTCACAGCCTGCAGTATCGCCCGGCAACAAGCCTGCGCGTGCTGAAGTGAGGGGAGGTCCGATGACTCAGCTGCAAGAAAAACAGGAATAAAGTCCCTCACCTGAACAAATAATTATGATCGGTAGATCACGGACGTCATGATCTACAGGGCATATTGCTGCTGGATATTGCTCCTCACCCTCGGTGTGTTTGATGATTTGGTCCAGCAGCAGAGGGTACTTGGTGAGCCTCTGCATCTCCGACACCAGCAAGTCTTTGAGCTGCAGCCGCCGACACTGAGGACTTGTCTCACACTCCTGAACAAGAGAAGCAGCAAAGAAAGGAAGTAAAACCAGTGACTGTTTACTAAGACAGACAAACACTATCATTTTATATTTTCTACTAAGCATCCATTCATCCATCCAGCCACCATCTTCTGCTTGTTCCAATGTCGGGTCGTGGGGGCAGCAGGTTGAGCAGCGAGATCCAGACATCTCTTTCCACAGCCACCTCTTCCATCTCTTCTGGGAAGACTCCAAGATGTTCCCAGGCCAACCAAGAGACATAGTCTCTCCAGAGTGTGCTGGGTCTGCCCCGGGGTCTCCTCTCAGTCGGACATGCCTGAACCACCTCAACTGGCTCCTCTCGATATGGAGGAGCAGTAGCTCTACTCAGAGTCTCTCCCAGATAAATTAACTTCTCACCCTTAAGGGAGAGTCCAGCTACCCTGCAGAAGAAACTCATTTCAACTGTCTGTATCCATGATCTAATTCTTTCAGTCACTACCCAGAGTTCATGACCATAGGTGAGAGTAGGAATGTAGACCGACCGATAAACGGAGAGCTTTGCCTTACAGCTCAGCTCCCTCTTCACCACAACGGACCGACACAGAGTCCACACTACTGCAGACACTGCACCAATCCAACTGTTAATCTCACGCTCCATTCTTCCCTCACTCGTCAACAAAACCTCAAGATACTTGAACTCCTCCACTTGAGGCAGAACCTCACCCTCAACCTGAAGAGAGCAGTCCACCCTTTTCTGGTTGCAAACCATGGCCTCAGATTTGGAGGTACTGATTCTCACCCCAGCTGCTTCACACTCAGCTGCGAACTGCTCCAGTGAGAGCTGAAGATCAGGACATGATGATGTCAACAGGACCACATCATCTGCAAAGAGCAGAGATGGAATCCTGAGGCCACCGAACCAGACTGCACTGGTGAGTTTCTCAGTGCACCCCCTGGCTGCACTGAGAAATTCTGTCAAAAAAAGTTATGAACAGAATCGGTGACAACGGGCAGCCCTGGAAAAGTCCAACTCCCACCCTGAAGGAGTACAACTTACCGGTACTGCCAGCAATGCAAACCAAAACTTTCACTTGCAAACTCTTGCACTGCTTGTATAGGGACTAAACAGCCCGTAGCAATAATAATTAGGGATGGATGCCAAAGTGTCCCTGGGCAAGACACTGAACCCCTCATTGCCTCTGATGTGTGTCCCATCAGTGGATGAATGTGATAAAGCACTGATTAATCTTTGTACAGATCTAGTAGAGTGCTGTATGAATGGGTAAATGAGGACACAGAGTGTGTTGTAAAGAGCTTTGAGTATCTTGATATGATCGAAAAGCACTATATAAGTGCAGTCCATTTACCATTTCATAATTCTAGCAATAATTAAGCAATATTAAAATGAGTCATTCTTTGACATTTGAGTTTACCTATAAGTCAAGGACGAGATAACTATTGCTTATAGTGATAATTAATATCACAGCTGGAGCAGCAAGAAATATACAACGTAAAGACAAACTTTCATGAGAAAAAAATACTTTTTTTTTCTTCCAGTTTTGTGGTTTTACATTACGTTCTAAATTTATTCAAACCTAACCTCAAGTGGACAAAAAAACACAACACATCCCATCATGTCATTATTTCTTAGTCTCCTGAGGACACTTTAACTTCATGACATTTGTTCTTTAGGGGGAAAATAAATAAATAAAATCAACCTACATAACGGCGTCATGGAAAAAAAGGGATTCCCAAAACAACCAGGCGTAGAGTTCATCATGTACAAAGCTTTGGAGAACAGCCAGCAATCACAGAAGATTTACAAGTGCAACTTCTCAATGCTTTCACCTGTCTGAGGCTCTGACCCCAGCTGCAGTCAGAAGCAGGGGGGGATCTGTAGGGCCAAAGACTCTCGAAGAAACATGCCAACACATAGATGGTGTTTGAATGAAAGTATAGTAATCAGATCAATCAGATATTGGCAGGGACCAATGCAGACATGTTCCTGTTTTTAGTTTTATACATTTGCCTTAGAATCTAGCTGTTTTTTGTTACTTTTCTTTTTTAGCCATCCTATTCGTAAAAAAAAAAAAAATCTGTATGCCTTTTTATAACTGTCTATTGTTGTCATCATTCTTTGTTGAAATCAGGTCTCTCTTGGAAATGAGTCCTCGAGGCTCAATGGGATTAACCTGTCTAAATAAAGGTTGAATGAATGAATGAATATTGAGGATAATAAAAACTCTTTACTGACCTGTCACATGAAGACTGACTATTACACAGAGTAAGGATGATGGAACATTTTAACATCATTCACAATAACAGTAAGATCAGTAAAAATTATGGAGCATGGTGAGTGCAAATAATACACATTCTCTTGACAATGACTTAACATATTATTTTTGAATATCTTTATCTACAATAAACTAGTCAGTCTTTTCATGTTATCCCCTCTCCACCTCCGTGCCTGACAGCTGGTACTGATGTACCGTGTCTTGTTTAGGTTGTAAAACCTGGTAAATATAGAATTCTTTTTATTATGTCCTCAAATGGAAAACCATTAAACTGAAGGACGATGGACTTTCTTTTCCCCCATGGCTGTAAATAACTGCAGAAATGAGCGTGCCAACACGTAGATGGTGTTTGAATGAAAGTATAGTAAGCATGAACAGGGTCTGTGTGTACCTGGATAATTTGGGTGAAGCGGGGGTCTTTCCGTTTTTTGTTCTTGATGAGCTCCAGCGCCTGAGACTGCTGGCAGCACAGCAGCGACGACTGTTCCTGAAACTCGTTTCCCGCCACACCTTCGAACTAAAAATACAACCACTGTTACAAAACGAAACAGATCCAACACTTTTCACCAGAGAAATGGAGACGAGCGTCTCACCCTGGCCACCATGACATCGCCGATGTCTTGGACGACAGGAGTCTCTCTGCGCTTCTTCATGTCCTCACACAGACTCGCTGTGGGGAAGTAACACAGAAGCAACATTAGAAAAATAAAAACATCAAATGTTCAAGTGTTTTGTCTGTTGACAACACAGAGAAACTGTGATATTCTACATCTAAAGATTAAAAATGAGACCCATAGTTTAACCGTGTCTGATTATTTACTTCAATTATTAATTTTATTAACCAAGCAGTTTAAATACACACAATTTACAAAGTACACAGATACACAAATAGAAAAAAACACAGCGACAAATTTTAGACTGTCGTAATCAATTACATTTTTGTAGAATAATAATTGTAGAAATTATTAAAGCCCGACCGATATATTGATAGGGCTGATAATTTAGGCCGACATAGGTGTTTGGGAACCTATCAATATCTGTGATAATTGTCCCATTATTCGCCAATATACTGCAGTGTTTCCCCTCGCTAACTTGCCATGGCGGGGTGTTTATCTTATCCATGAATTTTGTTGATAGGTTTTGGTGACGTGGGGCGGGGGGGTAGACATGTCTGTGCACAGCTTGTACCAACAGTTTTTGAGCGGGGGCGGGGGGGAGTGCTTTTAGCTTTTTAGCTAGAGCATTTGTATTGCCGCTGGTAGCTTAGCGTGACACACTTAAGTTGTGTGTTGTTTGTACAGACAGTTTTTGAGTGTGTGTGGGGGTTCAGCTTGAGAGAAGAGGCAATGTGAGCACTACCTTTAGCTTTTTAGCTAGAGAGCCTGTACTTCGCGCAGCTAGCTTAGTCCTATGTCGGTGCCGGCTGGGGGGGGGGGGGGGGGGTGTCAAGTTCAGTTTGGTAGGCGGGGTGCTCAGTTCTGTTGATGGGGTGCGGAACCCCGCTTATCTTAAAATGCTGGAAATGGCCATAATTTTAAAACCTATCCAGCAGAGGGCGCATAAAGTCTACTTTCAAGTCATGGTCGTTCACTTAAGTTTCACTTTCAGCACAGACAAAGCAGGGAACAATACTGTGCAGCGTATTTTGCTGAACAGAACATGGTAAGTTTATTTTAACTGATGTGTAAATTTAAAAAATCAACAATAATAAATTATCTTCAATCCTTCAACCCTCTTGTCTTTAGCTACATTCCTCTCAAGTTAGCAAGCTAACGTTTAGATAACTTAGCATAGGCTATTGCCTTGTACAACTTTATCCAGAACAATAAATTTAATGTAGAGGTAAAATATATCAGTGTTAGTAACGTTATCTTTGTCGTCCTCAATGAAATGTTTGTCTGAAACCTTTACTTCTCTAAAAAGAAAAAAAAAACCTCAGCTGCCATCAGTACTAACTAGACCTTCACCATATGTTTAAATATGTTTGAACAATGAACAGGGAAGGGCATTTCTTTGTTTAATTTCTATTTTTGTAACACACTTGATAACTTTATGGTGAATAGTGGCGGATAGAAAATGTGAACACATGTTAGGAAGAGTGGCAGTGCATCACTTGTAAACCTGCTGTGGGACTACGTATAGCATGGCTCTGATTAGCTTAGCTTCATGGTTGCTAAAAGCTGCGCTAAATAATCAAACCACGCTCCACTCACTGTTTACTTTGATTCTTGAGGTGGACAAAGCTCAAAAATTGTCAGTCATTACATCAGTTATCAGCATTCATCTTCACCTCCCGATATCGGCGATAGCCAAAATTTTCATATCGGTCGGGCTCTTGAAATGATAACAACAGATAATTTAACTGATAATGACAATATTCAGATAATGTAAAAAAACAACACTCACACACCCACTGCTGCTCAGTGCATCACTTTCTCAAACATGTCTGAATAAAACTGTGAGAATCGCCGATTTCAGCAGCATCTCAATGATCGAGGCTGTTACTTCCAAAGATAAATCAAGTCTTTATCCTTTGGACTAATCGTGTGCTTCAAAGACAAATTTCTTTACTGGACTGAAACTTTCCAGACATCCTAGTGAGTGTGTGACTCGTATATCCACCTTCAGACATGACTGACCGTGGAGTTCGTAGACCTGGGGCAGGTTGGGGAAGATGCAGGCCAGCTCCTCAGAGTTCAGCACCAACCTCAACTTCTGGAAGAAAACTTTGTCCAGGACCCTCAGGGTTCGCAGGTGGGACACCTCTGTGGTGAAGAGCTCTGAAGGAGACAGGACAAACATGTAAGAACACAACAGTGAAATGTGTTACAGGAGATGGAGAAACAGTGTTGCAGTCCTACAACATACCGTATATGACAGCCTGCCGGTCCACCTCCTTCGGGCTGAGCGCTGCGAGCAGATGAGGAGGAACCGTTTCCTGCCAGTGCTGACCATCACACACATCGTCCTCCAGAGCTGCTGCATCAGGCAGCAGGGCCAGAGGCGAGTCTACACTCCTGCCAGTTCAGAAAAATAACAAAGAAGCTGGAGCAGATTTAGCATGAAACACACAGAACAGGTTTTAGCTCGTTTTACTCTAATGTAGCCGAAATGTACAGAAGAAGGTGCAAGAGTCATCAAACGTGAGATTTAAAACTAAAAGCTGCTGATTTTTTCTTTCTTTTCTTTATTTTTATTCAAATAATTCATTCTCTTGTTTCCTCTCATGTAATCCTTTCAGTTCTGCCCATCCTTCACTGCTCGCCTGCGGGGACGACGTGGTGACTCACCTGCGTCTAGACCGAGGGGTGTATGGGGGTGTAGGGTTCTCAAGAGACCTGAGTGTGAGAGAGTGGAAAGAGAGGCGGCATGAGGACAAAACCTACACTGTCCTGAGTAACGTAAGGGGAGTAAAGCTTATGTGTGGTGAGTGCTGAGGCTTCTGCCTGTCTGCTGATCTTTCTCCAGCTGTTAACAGAATCGGTGGATCTTTACCGAGCGGAGCTGCTGGACGCAGACGACGAGGCGCTGTGCTGCAGAGGTCGAAGGCCCTGTTGGTCCTGCTCTTCTCCACAGTCCTCCATGTCCACGTCGCTTCGAGAACGGGGCACGGAGTCTCCTCCTGAGCCAGTGCCCCGCCGCCGGCCCTCCCCATGAGCCTTCAGAGACTCGCTGCGTGCCAGACGCACAGAGACCATCGGACTAGGGGGGAGGGAAACACCCCGATCAGGTTGTGCCCATGGAGAACTTGATAACTGGAGCACATGTGAAGCTGACTCACCTGTCCATGCCGTCTTTGCCTTCTTCTCCCAGGCTGCTGGACGACAGCCTCTGGGGGTCCGCAGCATCCCCCCCCTCCTCTCCTGGAGTGTCTGAGTGATTCTCAAACTGCTGAATGATGTTCTTCACACTGCCCGGACGCACTGCACACACGTTGAAGTTTAGCACAACCAGAAAAAACGGCTCAAAAACCAGTGAATCAGCAGGAAGGAGACGAGTTGGAGCTCAAACAACCAAAATAAACGACCGTAATTTCTGGTCTATAAGCCGCTACTGTTTTCACACACTTTGAACCTGTGGCAAATTTATGGATTTTTTTTTTTTTTTTTTGACGGGCTAATGAGCTTCATGCCGCCAAAAACATTTAGCCTCATCACACTCAGGCGCTAACATAGCTGCCCAATATGTCTCTGTTGGGGGGCGGGTCCTCCTGGCTCAATAAGACTACCTGTATAGAGTAAAAAAAAATAAAAAAAAGACCAATAACATTACCAAACAGGTCACAGTGGACCAATGAAACAGGGAGTAGGGGAGAGAATGGTGAGGGGGGTGGTTCCCCTGCATGCACAAAGAAACTTTTGCTCTGTGAGCACAAGCTTGCAGCAGGAGGAATACGAAGATAGCGATCAGTGACTTCCTGGTCGGCTTATGTATTGTTTTCGACAAAGACAAGAGCCTGAGGACGTGTGTGATGACGTTTTTCTGAGGTTGTTCAGTTCTGACACTGAAAACGACGACTTTAGTTGTTTTAGTGCGCAGGAGGAAGATGAACATAGCGACTTTTCCTGGTAAGCCACTGTATTTATACATTTTTAACCAGGCATGTTAAAGGCATTGCAGGGCACTCGTCTCCTCCGTGATTTTTGGCGGGATGGGAGGGCGGGACACACACGTCTGAGCTGCGTGATGTTTGTACCGACAGCTTTCAAGTGGGGTTGGGGGGAGGTGGTTTCAGCTGCCTCTGTGCGCAGTTAGGTTTGGTAGGCAGGGCGCTCGGTTCTGTCGACAGAGTGGGGCACCCTGCTTGTATAATGGTAGGGGAAACACTGGTATGCATTTGTGTATGTTATTAGTTTGTATTTAATTAAAAGTAAAAAAAAAAAAGATAAATCTTTGCGTAAACATCTCATGTTACAACGTGGACACCCGTGGCTTATGCATGTACGAATTTTTATTTATTTGTTTGTTTTTATTTAGTGTGCACGGCTTATATTCAGGTGAGCTCTATAGACCGGCAATTACGGTAATGGATGTTTGTTAAAAGACAAAATTGAAATAAATAAGAAATTAATAAAGACAAATGAAAATGTACCTTCTGAGGGAGACAATGGGACGTGGAATGCTACAAAAACCAAAATAAACCCAAGAGAAATAATTAAACCAGGAGTGACGAGACAATGATACAAATCAATGAAAGAACCTTGAAATGAATGAAACGGTAAGAAAATTAATCAACGTGACTCGATGCATACAGTCGTGTTTGTTCAGGCTCTCATTTGTATTTTCAACACCGATAAGGTCTAATATTTCTAACAAGTGATTTGTGTGAGTGGATCTTTACTGGACTGAGACATGTTCCGGGGTTTTCCGATGTACTTCAGGATGGGGTTCCTTTTTTTATCCTCTCCATCTTTTTTGTCCTTCGTGCTGGTCAGCTGCAGAAAATGACAAAACCAAAACATCATGTCCAACAATCCTGAATCTGAATCCTCTTTTTTTATGAATTTTGTCTTCTTTTTTTTAATGTATTTACTTAAATGTACCAGATTACATTACTTGGTTAACAGAAATGTTAAAATGACAAAAAGCTCTAAAGCTCTTTTGAGGTGAAAAATTAAAACTACTGAAAAGTTTTTAAACTGACGTTACCCGGAGATGTAAACAAAACATCACAGACATTATTAGAAATAGTGCACATGTGAAGAAAAAATAACTTGAACTTATTTTAAGTTAATTTATTTACAGTCTACTGAAATGTTCACATTAAACTTTCCTCGCAGGTACTTTGTTAAATTGCATTAATATTTATCAAAGTTCATGCTCAATAGTCCAGGTAAAAAAATCCACCAAAGTTCAGTCAAGTCATCTGGACGATTTCTTTTTTTTTTTGTTGTTGTTGTTGAGACGTTTCGTCTTTCATCCAATGGACTTCATCAGTCCGAGGAGCCACAAACAAACTCAGTCTCACAAGCAGCACAATCACATAGTGGGATGAAGGATGAAATGTCTTTAAAAAAAACAACAACAAATAAACTAACATCCAGATGACCTGACTGAACTTTGTTGCATTAGTATTTACTTTTTGTGTGTGTGTGTGTGTGTGTGTGTGTATGTGTGTGGTGGATTTGCAGCTCCTGTAAGTCAAATCTCTGGTTTATCTGCATGAATGAACAAGTTTTATTGTTTCCTCAGCATCAGAAAATGCCTGAAAGCCTCACATTCAATACAGAAAACTTTTACAAAGGATGCTGTGAACAGATGCATAACTCTTCCAACATCACTCTGCATCCACCTGCAGCTGATAGAAGTTAAACCAACAGCTATGGGTGAGCATTATGTTGTTTTACTGCCATTGATTTTTATTGTTAAGCACTTTGGTAGCAGTTGCTGTTTTTAAGCGTGCTTTATAAATAAATTAGACTTGACTTGGTGACTATCATCAGCTGTGAGTCTGGACTGGTCCAGGTCTGCCCTCAGTCATTCCACCAGCTGTGAGTCATGACTGTGACAGCCTGAAGACCTTTCACTGTTAAACTGTTCCCTGTAGTTCACTGATTTATACAACTTACATGTTCAAAAAGTTACCTTCAATTCATCAACTAGCTGAAGTCATAATTATTCAACCAGCTAAAAAGTCTTGTAATCATTGGAAGTCATTAATTATTGATTGATTCGGGTCTACTTTAAATTATCACTAGTTAAGACACAATATATTTCCCTTTCTATCATTTGTTGTGCATGACTGTTGTTTGAAAATAACATTAATTATATGAAGTTATTGTAAACAAATCAATAATAATTTGTGACAAAGATCCTGTTGGGTTTACTGTTAAACAGTTGTTTTGTCGGCTGCGAGGTGTAGCTCGTTTTAGACGCCGTCTTAGTGTCTCCATGATGTAACAAACTTAACCAATGGGTATAAAGGGCAGAGCGCCCTCTAGTGATATTATTTAACTCGATGGCAGGACTACCTAACCAATCGGCCTTAATCTGTAAAACTTGGTCCCCACCTCTCCTCCACTCGTACGCCGAGCACTGGCTCCCCACAGGGCTGTGTGCTGAGCCCCCTGCTGTACTGTCTCTACACCCATGACTGCAGCCCGGCCCACAACAACAACCTCATCGTCAAGTTTGCTGATGACACCACAGTGGTCGGACTAATCTCTAAGGGAGATGAGACATTTTACAGACAGGAGGTCCTGGAGCTAGCAACCTGGTGCTCAGAGAAAAATCTGACTCTGAATATCAAAAAAAAAACCAAGGAGGTGATTATTGATTTCAGGAAGCACAGCACCATCCTAGCCCCCCCTTCACATCAATGGCGAGTGCATGGAGAGGGTTCATACTTTCAGATTTCTTGGTGTCCATATCTTAAGAAGCACAACCTGAACACCAAATTGCTGCTGACCTTGTACCGCTCGTCCATCGAGAGCCTGCTGACATACTGCATCTCAGTATGGTACGGCAGCTGCACCCTGGCTGACAGGGAGAGGCTTCAGAGAGTAGTCAAGACAGCACAAAATATAATTGGCTGCCCTCTCCCCTCCCTGATGGACATTTACACATCACGCTGCCTCAACAGAGCAGAAAACATAATCATGGACTGTTCACGCCCGGGTTTTGAACTGTTTGACTTGTTACCTTCAGAGAAACGCTACAGGTGCATCAGAACAAGAACAAACAGATTCAAGAACAGTTTTTTCCCGAAAGCCATCACCACACTGAACTCACACATGCACTGATTTAATAATATAACCTCCCAAACACCTGGACTTCTACTGTGCAATACTACTGACATTTCATACCCTCAGTCACCTTAACTACCTCACTAATATCCATAATATGCAATATAATTGTGAAATACTTGTATTTTTACTTTCATTATTATATCTATATTGCGTTACATTTTTTTATATTTTAGTGTGTGTTTTCTTAAGGCGTGTTTTTGCACTGAAAAAAGGAGTGGCTCTTAATTTCATTGTACTGCATATAATGACAATAAAGGCATTCTGATTCTGACTAGTCAACTAAACTGCTCAGGGGGCCACAGTTACTGAAAGCCAAGAGGTCAGGGGCCGGACATCCAGCAGTTATTGTTATGAAGTTTGTTTTATAGTTTAAAATCTAGTTTTATTTAAAAATGAATCCATTGGTGTGCTGAACTGAGCTCACCTGTGGGCCTGATTTGGCCCCTGGGCCACCAGTTGAATAGCCCTGCTCTATGGTTTAACTCAAAGTTCGGCGTAGAAAGAGGGGAGTCTTCCAACTCCCATTCACTTTTTAAAACAACCTTCTCACAAGAAAAGAAATTAAAACAACAATTCTTGTTAGTTGTATTTTTCTTTTTAGCTGCTCTCTTCTTCAAGGGTCGCCATTGTGAGGAAACTCGGCAGGAAAGATTCAGCAAGTGTTTTACACTGTGCGCCGTTTACGATGCGACCCGAGGTGGAACCTGCAGCCTCAGGTTCAGACTATGGCACAGACCGCTGAGCTACAATGCAGCCCTGTTAGTTAAGAGGTTGTCAGGCAGCAGGTCGTGTCTAATCCATGCAGCATGAACTGTAAACAGGGACACACAGCTTGACTCCAAACGTTAGAAAAATTTGGTTAAGAAACTGGTTTTAACAAACCACTGTTTCATTTGAAATTTGATTTGGACTAAACTTTATGCAAAATAAAATGCATATCTTTCACTGTGAAAATCTTAGCTAGGTGAGTGCGTGCTTATTAAAACCGAAACAATGAATGTACAAACAGCAGAGGGCGTTTGAACATGCCGCCCTGCTGCTGCAGGTCAAAACAGACACGTCTTCAGGCTCCTCCTGTGACTCATCTCAACTAGACATTCTTGTTTTGCTTCGGGGCTACGGAGATTTAGATCGTATCTTTTACTACACCTGTCTGTTATAGCTGTTCCAAAAAAAAAAAAAAAAAGAGGGAGGGAAGATTCGTAAGTAAGTTGGAAAAAAAATGACAGAAAATGAATGTGAAGCGCTGAGTCTGTAGTTCTTCATGATAATGGGCTCTTTGCTCCTCCACTTCAGAGACAGAGGTAAATCAAATTCATGGAAAAAACAGGCAATAATGGTTTGTATTGTGTGAAATGGCCCTCACGGGGCACCACAGTTCTTGTGGTTAACTTGTTTCAAACTCAAAACGTTTCTGAGTTGTCATGAATTTCCTCTGTAATAAATCTGTTGTTGAACGCTCCGGCCAGGTGGCAGCACAGACCATGCATCATCAGCTCACCTCTTTATATAACTAACATGTTGTGTAAAATTGTAGATTGCAGATATTTATGATAAATAGTCCTGTCGTAAAAAAACAATAAATCAATTAATCGCATGATAAATTAAAATTATCGACCTCATTTTCATTTATTGGCTTTATCGTTTCTTCGTGTCTCTCTCTTTCTACTGAAGACACTGGACGACAAAAAGCTCAACTCCGGTGCTCTTCACTGACCCCTCCCTTTCTCTTTAAAATCTGTTTTAACATCCAAAATCACATTTTTGGATTGTTAAAAGCGGCTAAGCTGAGAAGCTAAGCTAACAGGTTGACCTCGGGAAAAAAACGTTTGCTTGACAATAATGACTAATTATTGTAAAATTTCAAACAATATTATCGTTTATCCCAATAATTTGAGACAATTAATCGCCCAGCCAAATTTGTTATCGTGACAAGTCTAATGATTTGAACACTCACAAAGAGAACACTGTGAGAGTTTCACAGAGAGAAAAAAAACAACAGGGAAACAACTTTACACATCTTGTGTGTACAAATATTCATCTTTTAGAGTTTATATTGTTTAATTCAAGAACTAAGGCAGAAGGAAAAACAGCTAATGAAACTGAGACAGACATACAAACGAGCTGTAACAAATAAACATTTCTTTCACACCAGCTTACATTTCCACATGTCGACCATTTCGGCTCTGTGTTCTCTGCAGCCATGTTCTCACTTCCTTGTTTTCTAGCTGCTTTAAATAGAGTTTGTTAAAGACCCAGTTTGTTTCTGCTCCAGACGTTTTCATGTTTTTTCTTGAGCACACCATCTTTGGAGCACCGACAGGATAGAAAGCATTAATAATGGTTCCATGTGTTACTCTAATGCAGTGGTTCCCAACCGTGGTCCTTGAGGAACACCATTCTGCATGTTTTAGTCGTTTCCCTACTTTGACACACCTGATTTGAATAAATGGATGATTAACAGGCTTTGGCAGAACTTAAATAATAAAACCACTGAAGCAGGTGTGTTGGAGCAGGGAAATAACTAAACCATGCAGGATGGCGTTCCTCAGGGACCATGGTTGGGAACCACTGACATTAGCCCAATGAGCGAGTCCGGCTGAGCGGTTTATAAAACTGCTCATTTCATTTTTGCTGAAAACAACTAACTATTGAATGCCACCAAGATTCAAATTTAATGCTTTTTAATGCCCTGCAGAAACCCTGTTTCTATTTTGATTAATTTCCTTCATGTTAATTAATTTAGTAAAATTGTGTAAAAACAAATGTGACTTTTTCTTTAAACCCACAGCAGTTTCCTTTCCTACCTTTTTTGATTTTAGGAAAGCGAGCCACTTCTCCTTCTCTACGCTGAGACTAGGAAACACCTTGGAATCTCTCAGCTTGATGCCCGAGTGACGCAGGTACAGCAACACTGCTGACGCCAGAGGAGAACTGGGTGGAGACCACGAGAACCAGACACAATAAGGTAAAGAAGAAGAAAAGGTATAAACTAGACGTTACATTAAATTTCACTGCAGTAACAATGTGCAGACTTTACCTTCGGTCCTCTTCATGGTTTGATCTAAAACAAACAGAGAGAAAGTTTCTGACTCTTTTGGCAACAAACCAGTTTATTCAGTGTAGTTCGTTAAAAGTTTAATCCACCAGTGGAGGAAACAGAAAGTAGTCTGAGTCATGTGATTGCCTGGTTGGACTTCACAACCTTTGTTATGATCGCTTCAGTGAACTCCTTTGTAAAAACGGGTTTATTGCATAGTAAAAAGTTGGACATTGTTGTTATGGAAACCAGCACAGCTCATAATGCATGTGTTCAGTTTGTGTGTTTAAATAATTCACAGGACGTCTCAGTCCAGGACTGAGACGTTCTGGCTGCCTCGGTCCATTCAGAAGACACACAGAGGCTGCGATGGGGGGTTGGAGTCAGCCCATCTCTGATGCACCTCTGTGCTGCAGAGCGAGGTAGTCACAGGGCTGTGCTGGCCGATGTGTGATAAATAAATAAATAAATAAAGACTGGTGGAGCTGCGACTCAGTTATGTGATGAACTGATGACAATAGTTGTAACTGCCCACTTGTGGAATTAAACAAACAGATTTATTATAAGGGAACACTGATTATGACACGCAGCAACTTTGTAGTTAGATTAAAAAAGGACAGTGAATGACATGAGGGAAATGTCCGACACACACTGAATGCATCACGCTCTGCTTCAGCCCAGCAAAGCTCTGCTCCACGTCTCTTCTGGTTCTGCTGGAAGCTCCCATCTGAGCAGGACGTGACCACTTCAACTGTGATTTATGAAAGGCTAGAGGAAGCTTAAAGACGAACTGGTCTGTGCAGCCATTTTGCTGAACTGTCTTCTGATCATGTCTTTAAACTAAACAGTGAGCGGGAAGATTTAATGTAAACCTACAAAATAACTTTGTCTTTAAAATATTAATACTCAGATTAACTAAGAAAGACAACAGTTCTCTATGAACCTGAAGCTTCTGCAGCTTTAGAGTTTGAAAGCAGACAAGTTTCTGAGTGGACTCACAGGATCTCCCAGAGTGCAGTGACCTGTCTGTCCACGACTTGTTTCTCCTTCAGCGGGTCTCCATCCAGGAGATGCAGGTCGCCTTCCCCGAACAGAGAGCCCAGGCCCATCATCTGTTTGTTCCTGCCAGGGCACACGAACCACAGATGAACTGGTTACTACCAGCTTCTGGAAATCCAAGCTGAGGCCCTGTCATCTCTCATATTAAGATTTTTTTTAATTTTTTCTTATTCTCAGACACAAAATCAGAGAAGGGAGAAAAAAGCCTCACCTTTCACGTACAGTTATACATAAACTAGACAAAGAAAAACTTTATACATATACGCACAATAACATCAACAGAAATAATAATAACTACATAGATTTTGGAACAATTTTTATTCTGTGCACACTCGTCAGGAGTCATCTAGAGTTTTCTCGTCGTAACAAGATCCCTTTATGATCACCCCTCATCACACCTTTTAAAAAGGATAGAAGTGATACTCTCGCCCTGAACACACTGGGTTTTCAAACAGCTCAGGGCAGATCACATTATTTTCCATCTGATTAGCTTTTGTTTCATCACTGCGGGATTTACAAATGTAAATAAAAATGTTATAAATCAAAACAAAAAGCTGCAGGACATTACTTTTTGTCACAATTCTTAATGACATCAAGACGCTCATGGTGGTTTCAGTCAGGTTTCTAAAGCCTGATTTTAGTTTTATTTTTTAAATAAAATATTCTCTCAGAGAATGGTAAGTTTTAATTCACTTCATTCTTGGAGCAGCAGGAGTTAGCCGTCAGCACATCAGTCCTGTTCCTGTCAGAATTTACCTTTGTTTGTCCAAACAGAGGAAGAGCTGTCTACAAAAGGTTAGACAGTAATTGTTCAAAGCCTTTTCACAAAGACCCACTTCTTAATACGAAGCATTTTAACAGTTTAAGAAAGTAACTTTATCTGCTGATACAGATTTCCTTGTTCTGATCTAACGTGCGTAACGTTGTGTTTCCATTAAGTTGATGGCATACGGGTAGGTTTTGTCATTGGATGTCAACAACAGTACCATAATTTGCATTAACAGCTGGTGCCAGTTTTATCTGTGTGTGTGTGTGAGGTCGGGTAGAGAAAGCCCAGTAGTGATAAACATGTTTCTGCTGTTCAACGTTTTCTAGTCTCCTTCGTGCTAAATGTGAAATTTGGTCTCTGGTTTCATTTTAAAACCAACAAAAACAAAATTCAAAAACAAAAAAAGAAATACATTACATACATTTTGAAAATATATGAAGCACACACCTCACACTGTGAACTTTTGAATCCACTTATTTACATTTAAAATAGTTAATTTTTGCGGGGGAGGAGGGTGTTTGGTTGTCAAAGGTTTTGAGTAACTGTTTAAAAACTAAACTAATTCAGCAGCTTTGTTTTTTCTCTTTTTAGCCACAAACAGCTGTCTTCCACAGCTGTCTGGTTAGCTCCATGAACGAACCATCTATCGTAAATGTACCTGTAGTCCTGAATAAGCTCCTGGATGTCCGGCAGCACCTGCTGCTGCAGCTCAGACAGAGGTCCTCTGATGTCCTCCTGCGCATGAAGACGACTTTCTGAAAGCCACGAAAAACACATCACAGAAAAAATACTTCAATATAAACTAATATATATATATAGCCACAAACAGCTGTCTTCCACAGCTGTCTGGTTAATATCTATATATATATATATATATATATATATATATATATATA